CGGAAAACTGAACTTAATAAATACGATAATCTCAGTCTACAACCGCCGGGAATTTACCTCCGATTAAGCTCGAGTGACAACACTCCTCGGATTCCCGTGCTCGGCCGTGACCTTCCGCTTGCGTGCCGTGTGGTGCGTGTTCTCGGTGCTTGCGTGCGTCTGTTTGCCGTGTATGCAACACTCAAATACTATACTAACTCTCTCACTCTCTAATACATATAATAGGAGCTGAAAGTATACTTAGGAAATGAGGCCAATTTTCTCCAGATTGAAGCCTATAAATATGATGATGGCCGATTAAAGTTTGGGAGGTGAGAGCTAGGTGGCACTTTAATATAACACCACATGATAATCTATATGCTAAGTCATTAATATAGGAGGTTAGTCATCTCCTAATTGCCCCAAATAGTGACACATCATACTTACAAAAATGTGATCAGTCCTTATTTTCCCAACTTAAAAATCACTTACGGCATTGAGAAAAATGGAGCAATTTGGGTACGGCTTTAGCTTAACTAATGTGATTAATTAATAATTAATCACTTCCTTTATGTTTAATCTTTAATTAAACATAATGCTTAATTACCAAAATTATTCCGAACGTCGAAAATAATTTTCGGTAATTTAACTGAAATGACTGAAATAATTTAATTCCGAAAATTAATATTCGACAATATTAATATATCGGAACTAAAACATAATTTATACTGATAAGCTGACGGGATATTACAGCAGCCCCCAAGGTAAATTTTCTATTAAGGAGGTTTACAAGACAATTATGAAGAGTAGAGCCCCTAAACAAGATCTAGCTAGCACCAGTATGGATAGCAAGGCTTTAAGCACAATGTGAAAAACAACTTGGGCTCTACCATTGAAACCTAAGGTGAAGAATTTCTTATGGAGATGTTGACATGAATATGTCAACACAAAAGTCCAATTAAATAAGAAAGGTATCAATGTAGATCTCATTTGCTCCAATTGTGGTGATAAGGAGGAAGACATTAATCATGTGTTGTTCAACTGTGTTAAAGCTAAAAGTTGTTGGAAGCTTAGTGGTTTACAATGGGGGCATGAAAGTGATATTATGGTCTGTTTTCAGAAATAGTGGTTCAATATTCGTGGTGCTAGGAAATTGGAAAGAAAGAAAGAAAGATTGAGCTTGTCTGCGGTCATGATGTGGAATTTGTGAAAGGCTAGAAATAAATGGCTCTAGAAGGGAGATTGGATCCATGACAGATTCCTTGTAGAAGAAGCTAAAGCTGAGTGGGTGGAATGGTTAGAGAGGCCAGATAAGGCTCAATGGTTGAAACTCAATAGTTCTTTGAAGGCAACAACACATCAGGACAACTTTTCTCTTGAAGTAGGTCAGTCTGGTTTGACTCTCAGTGCTTCTTATCTTGTTGGTGATGTTACTGCTGCATTATGTTCTGTGGAGATCATCGGTCATAGCAAGATTCAATGGAAGGCAAAGCTTAGAGGACCAACCAGTGAGGAGGAGAGCTTAATAGCAGCAGTGTTATGGAGCTTAAGGTAGGCTAGAGCTATGCAGTTAGTCAATTTTACATGCTTCATCCCAGCTGCAGAAATTGTGGAAGTGATAGATAAGAGGCTCCTCCATACTGAGTTGAATATTAGAGATCTTACTGATATTAGAGATCTTAATGTTTGTAATGCTAGTGTCAATTGTTTTTTCTAGTTTATGGCTTTTTGCTTTGGGCTCATGTGCCTTTAAGGGTTGGTTTTTCTCCAGTCCCGTTTTAAGCGGGCTATTGGCTTAGTCCATGATGGTTGTAATCATTTGATTAACGATGTACTCTTTATTTGAGTGGTATAATAGTTGTTTGCTGTTTGAGAAA